CGGTATCATTATGTATGTATTGCAAAATGTTAAATCGTGATGTGCATAAACAACAACGGTTTATTTGTTTGGTTAGTAGTTGTTAATGGTGGAAAGAGTACTGCAAATTTGTACTCAAGTAAAAGTACAGCAATTTGGTTAAAGATCACATTGTGCTTGAGCCTACTACATACCATATTTTTCGGACTATAAGTTGCTCCGGAGTATAAGTCACACCAGCCAAAAAATGTGTAATGGAGAAGAAATGAAGAAGATCTGATGAAGGCTTTTTTTTTTTTTTTAATACATTTTTGCACCCTTGTCTGGCTGCTCGTTGTATTTGCACCTCTAAATGGTCACATTTTTCTATAGCGCTTTTCCACCTTCAAGGCACTCAAAGCGCTTTACAACAAGGAACCACTCACCCTTTCACACACCAGTGTACGCAGACACTGTGGGCAGGGTGGGTTAAGTGTCTTGCCCAAGGACACAACGACAGCATTCATCTGTGGGAGCTGGAATCACACCAGCCAACCTGTGGGTCAGTGGATCTGACCGCTCAACCTGTGATGTTTATGTCGAGAGCTGGAATTGAACCACCAACCTTCAGATCAGTGGGCGAATGCTCTACCAACTGAGCTACTGCCACCTCTACAAGAATTTTGGTGTGTGCGTTTTCTGTTTCTTTTAATGAATAAAAAACAAGTCGCACAGGACTATAAGGCACACATTTTGGGGGAAATTTATTATTAATTTATTATTAAAATCAGAGACCAGGAACCGACATTTCATCATCAAAGTCAAGTTATAGTAATAACAATAGAACAGAGAACAACAGGTTGTTAATGTCACATATGAACAGTTCTTCAGATAAACTATAACATAAACAACACAACAGAACAAGTTTACCAAACTCTCCATCTCACTCCAAATCACTAAATCCATTCTTCAACTCTGTGACCTCCAGACGTAAACAGAGCACCACTTCCTCTTCTGCGTAGCTGTCGTCAGACTCAGCACCAGTTCCAGTTAGAATTATTCCGGCCTTTCTGAATCCCGACAGGATGGTTTCGGTGTCACTGAAGTTCAGGTTTTGTCGATCCATTCAATGACTTCCAGGAAAGTTGATCCCAGTTGCCGTGAAGCTGTGTTCTCCATCTCCGCTTTCCATCAGTCCCTCACAAGTTCGTCACTCACTCCAAACTTTCTTTCTGCTGCTCGATTGCCATTTTCGACTGAATATTTCACGACTTGCAGCAGGACAGAGGCTCTTTCTGCAGGAGACATGCGCAGTAGACGAAGTGACAGTGGTGCAGGAGTAAAAGGAGCAGCAGATACTGACACACAAGACTAGAGTGCCCTTAGTGTGGAAATTTAATATATAAGTTGCACCAGAGTATAAGTCATAGGACCACCCAAACCATGAAAAAAGTGTGACTTATAGTCCGAAAAATACGGTAGTTATAATCCAGGATATTGGTTGATCATTATGTTATAATGTACACATTTTAAATCCGCTCTCATGTGTTTTGTTTCATTCACATACGTTTAACACCACAAACCCTGCATACTGAGTTGTTCTCTCAAACTAAAAACACTCTGTTCCACCTTCTGAGGTCATGTGGTGATACAGTAAGTGCTCCACTGTGTTTTCAAACTCCTTAAATCTTCACTAGACTTCAATAGATCTGGTTAGGGATGAAATGGGAGACTGCTGTGAGTACCAGGTGCCGCAGTGGGGCAGTTTGTGGTGATTGGAGGGAGCAGCGGTGCAGATTGGCAGCCTCACTTCCGTCAGTTTGAGTGAAGAGTCTCCGAGTTTCCAAAAAAGCACTACATAAATCAAATAAGAAAAAGATTGTGAATTGTTCCTGGAAGCTTCAGGGAAGGTATAAAGAACTAAAGTTGATTTTGGAAGTGGCAAAGGTATTTTTGAACGTGGACGATATTACAGCGGAGGACCTGAAGGAGAGATGTGCACAGATGAAATAAAACAATGGAATATAGTGGCGGACCTTTGATTCATTTTCGTATTATTCCATTTCTTTTCACAGTATCGAAAGACTTTGAAGACCCGTATAGAGAAGTGTTTCATGTCGTACTGTCGAACATCTTAGACAAGCAATAACATCTCTGTGTGGACAATCAGACGGCAATCTTTCACCAGAAAACTCACACGTTACCCGTTAAACCCAGCAGACAATGACCCGGCACGGTCCAAACGCCATATTAACAGGAAAGCAGTGTTTTGTGGACAATTGCTGGAGAATTAAAGCCAACAGATTCTAGTCACGCAGATCAGATCAGAATGGATATGTTTTGAGTCAATAGCCGCAGCTCAGTGCCACGGACAGCGCTGTAATCACGGGTTCAGCGTGTTTACTGAGCCCCGTGTGGGAGTATTGACTGGGATCAGCTGTAGGAGTGGTCCACGTGCCAGCGATTATGATTTTCCACTACATCAAGTATGAACTACCTGAGGTGTTAGAACTGTATTTACAAAAGGAGAAAATTAGTGATGGGCGAATGGAGCGTCGTGAAGCATTGACACCTCAGTCGCAATATTGTCTCAAATGGTTCGATGTGTCTGAGGCCTCGGAGAAACACTGACCTCTAGTGGACAAATTTAACCATTGGCACGCAGGCGATGAAGTATTGTTAGTGTAAGACAATACTTGTGTGCAGAGCGACACCGTACCTCACAACAACAATAATAATGATGATTAAAATAATATGTAAAGAGCAACATAAATAGCAGCTGTAAATAAGAAAATAGGTGTTACCTTGTTAGGATCGCTTTTTTCCACTTGTAGATGCCCTCGAAAATTAAACAAATGCCAAAAGTCGCCAAAATCACCACTAACGTCACACAATACTTCTCACTACCCAACATTTTTAAGAAATATTGGTGCATCTTTTATACTGTTTAGCAGTTTAGAGCTTGCAGTGTTGGGAAGGTTACTTTTAAAATATATTCCCCCTACAGATTACAAATTACATAGCCCAAAATGTAGTTTGTAACGTTAAACCATTAAATTACTTAAGGTGAGTAACGTAATCTGAATACTTTGGATTACTTGATATTGTCATGCTTTTTAAAACTACATGAATGTATCAACCACATCCTGAAAATTCTTGTTTGTTTTCTTCAAATTGGCTGTTGAGCCCAAGTCTCCACGAACAGGCATTTGTTTACTGTAGAGAAACAAAGACGAGGATCTTAACATAAGATTTTTTTGTCTGCTCAAAGACAAGAAAAAGCCCTGTCTTTCCTTAACCAGATTAAAAATATTATTGATAGAGAAATGTCCACCCTACTGTTAGGTGTCATATTGTTTATTTAAAAAATTATAATAACTTTCAGTACAAACATAAAGGTGCCAGCCCAGTAAAAATCTGTAATATTGGATGTTTTTTACTCAAAATGATACAGAATCAAGTTATTAACAACAACGACTATTAACAACCTCGTCCATTGTGTGACTGACACCACCAGAGTTAACAAGACGTTTACTTGGCTCTTATTGCGCGCGTTCTGTTTGGGTTTCTGGCAATGAGTGGAATTACTGAAATAAAATAATTTTAAAAAATGCGATATAGCTCAAAATGTGAAAACAGGAAAATACTGCCATGTAGTCCATTTATTTCAACAAAGTAACTGTAATCCAATTAGCACTCACTGAAACAGTAACTGTAACTGAATACAGTTACTCATAATTTGTATTTTGATTATGTAATGCAGGTACATGTAATCAGTTGCTCCCCAACACTGAGCGCTTGTCAAACCACAGAAGTGCGCTGAACACTCTGAAGCTCTGAACCAATCGCAGAGCGGAACATTCACCAATCAAATGCTTCGATACACTGAAGCGATTGACACGCAGAGTGAAGCAGTAGGAGGAGGGACCGACACTTCGACACTTTGGTCACATTAGCGGCTGCTGCGAGTCGAGCTCCGAGGCAGTGCTCCGGAGCAATTTGTTTCAGAAAGAACGAGACGTGCTCCGGAGCTCCGTCTCATTACTCATCTCTAGAGAAAATGGTTTGTGTTTTATCATGCAGCAATTAGGAAGTGGGTGTTAGCATGCTAATTGTTGTTAATGTTCCTGTCTCTGTAAACTCAGGTTCTTGTCTAGGAAAGTAGTAAAAAGTGCATATAAACTCATTGTGGTGAATAATTAAGATGCTCAGGATGCATAAGGTAAGTGAAGAATAACTTTGGACCACTGCAAACTGTTTAAATGTACCTAATTTTGTTTTTCACATTTTTAAAGACAGTAAAAATCAGGTACAGTTCCTTTAAGTTTGACCCATCATCTACTGCTGCGGAATAAACAACTAAGGTTCTGAAAAGGTTTCCAGTATCAGTCTGTAACAGGTTTAAAGCAGGACGGTGAGAGAGTACTGTGTTTTGTAACTGAGTGATTTTCAGACTGCTGCATCACCAGATGATATTTTTTAATCAAAAAAGTTGGCAGACAACAATATAGTTGCTTTATTTTGGGGAAAAACTGAACTTAACAGAGTAATGAGTGTATGATGTTGCATAGCAGACAGTCAGTTTTGAACAGTGAGCCAATGCAGCTGTTATGGCTGTTGCTGTTACTGTGGTTTACAATGAACACAAATGTAATAGTTACAGTAAATGTATGTAAATATATGCAACAGACTATATGGAGCCTTGTGGCATTGCTATACTGTGGTTTCATCAGTATTGTGATCCATGTATCATATTAATGCAGGGGTCATCAAACTAAGGCACGTGGGATGACTCCGGCCCACCACGCCCCTTTGACCGGCCCCCCAGCCCCTCTGCCCCCACCACTTGAACTGACCCTACACTGAAAAAAAAAGGTTGCTGGATTTGCGATAAAAAAGTTATGGACAGCGGTTGCAAGCAATAAAATTATGTTTAGGCTTTGAAACTTTTTTCGAACCCCTCTACACATATTTTTCTCAGAACATGAACATCACTTTTTCATGTTGATGAAATTTGATCAAATCATGCTGAATATGCAGATTTATCTTATGGTACCTTATCATGAAATGTATAAGTATGTATAATGTAATTTAATTGATCTAATTCTGTAAAAGAATACAAAAACAGTCTTTAGTTTTCCACAGTTCTGTCTTGTCTTAAACAGAATCAAACACAAAGAGAGCACAGGGACAGAGACACACAGTTTGGAGCTGGACAGTGTGAAGATTTATTCCAGTGAAGAAGCTCTGGTCTCTGCCTGTGGACACAGAATAACACATGATGATCACATTCTGATGATCTACTCTGTTCTACATGTTTAAATACACTTATAGCAATTATTACTACAATAATGGACCAGAACAGAGGAACAAGAACATTAGAAGTGTATCTGCAGAAACAAAACTCACCATGTGCTGCTTTTCTTCCTCTAAACACAGTAACAGGGAGGGCATCTGGTATAAAGTCTCCTAGTGCCACATCACCTTGTACAAGTACGATAACAGTTTCAATCGGAAGTTCATTTTGAAAAATTTTAAAATAATTTTAGTTTGTTTACTTACTTTGTTCATCTGTGGTCTGTGTTTTGTTGGTTCTCAAACATCTTCCTTTTTTCTGAAACATCAACTATAACATTCATGAACTTCCCCACAGCTCAGCAGAGCTCTGGACGTCACTCTGTGTTTGTAGACGACTCTGGAACAAACACATTCAAATCTTAGTACAAGTGTCACACTTTTGTAGATGGACAGTCAAAAACAATTTGTTTCAAGCTGTCCTTACATTAACTCTAATTTCAAATAAAACCACCACAAACATGTTTTAACAGTGACGACATCCTAGGCCAGAGAAGCACATAATAAAATCTTTGAAAAGTCTCACCTCCAGATCAGCTTCATAATCCTCCTGCTCCACACTGTGTGTCTCTGCTCCTGTATCTGTCCTGTGTCCTGTTACATCTGAATTTTCCCTCCAAAAGTTTTGGGGAGGAGAATTCCAGAGGGAGGAGCCTCACCAGAAATTATAATAAAGTCATGTTTCCTCAACCTGATTAAAACATGCAGGTCTCACATCGGCCACAATCAAGCGATGTTTGTAAGATTTAAACATGCTGGACAGAGAAACGTAAAAAAGTGATGTTATTGTTGTCAAATTTGTTTTTGCAATTTGAGCAACCCCTCTCGGACCGTTTTTTCAGTGTATGAGGCAATCTTCAAAAGCTGTCATGGCCTTTTTTATTACATTTTGGCCAACAATAACACGTCTGCATCTTGCATTTTGTTGATTTTTTTAATTAAAAAATTATATTTATATGAAGTGCTTATATTTAAATAATTATATGACTTATTTACATTTGCCACTGAAACTGCAGCTCAATTTTCATCACCTGACAAGCTCGGGATCAAACAGATCGAGAGTTCTGAGATCTGTGGCGCCGTTAAGAACAGCAGAATAGCTCGTGTTAAAGTACGAAAAGTTGACAGAGTGTGCCGAGTTTTCAAAGAACAGTGGACAATCGATTATTAAATTTTTTTGTTCAGTGTATAAAGACCATGCAGTTTGTCTGATATGTAAAGAAAGTGTGGCGGATTTCAAAGAATATAATCTGCGCCGTCACTACGAACCCTGTCACAAAGAGTAAACTAGTTTTCGAGGGCAAACGAGAAAAGATTTGGTGGATAAAAGACGGACTGGTTGCTGAACAGCATGTATTCCTCCGTCAGCCTACCCGACTCCAGACGCCCATCACAGTCAGGAGCAATAATGTGGCCCCCAGTAAAAAGTCTGGTGACCTCTGATCCTGCTGTGAATAAAGAGTAAAGTTTTAGTAATGTGGTTAGTAGTAGTGGAAGGAGTAGTGCAAATTTGTACTCCAGTAAAAGTACAATTACATCACATACATTTTGGTTAATTACAAGTACAAATACTGCTGCCAAAAATTTAACTTAACTACAAGTAAAAAGTTCAGCTGAAAAATACTTGAAGATAGTAGAAAATATTAGTTACTTTTTAACAGATTTTATTTTTTAAAGCTGAATTGGTAATTGGACACACACATTCATACACGGGTGTATGCAGACAGTGTGGTAGGTTAAGTGTCTCGCTCAAGGACACAACAACAGTGTTCATCTGTGGAAGCTAGAACTGCACCGACAACCTTCGGATCCAAACATGTTTAAACCTACTGCCGAGTCTTTTCAAACCACATTCTGCATTTTCTCTGAGCCTTGTAGTCACATTTTATGCAATTATCTATTTGCATAAAAGTATTCAAATAAAGCTTGGTGTGGATGATTTAAGCAGCAGGTCGGCCAAAACAAAATATCGGCCAATAGTCGGTGCCTTAAAAAGTGCAAATACTGGCCAACCGATTTAGTGTATTGCTGCATTTCAGACGACATCACAACATCCTACAGGCAAGTTATATTTAATACAGATAGGAGGTAGCTAAAATGAATATTGTTAAAATGCAGATTGGTGTTGTAATACAATGAGTTCCTGGCTCATATCATGAATAGAAATGATCAGGTTCAACATTTGTGAATTTATCGTTTTAATATTTAAAGTAAACTGGCTCAAACATGATGACATCCTAGAATTTGAATACGAGGGGTGGGACGAGATACAATTTCCACAGAATGAGATGAGACACGAGATTGGATCTACGAGAACGAGACAAAACAAGATTTTGACATTCTTTATAATAAATAAAGTGTGCAAAGTTCCCAATTTTGGTCTCATCATTTTAGAGTTACCGTATTTTTCAGACTATAAGTTGCACTTTTTTCATGGTTTGGGTGGTCCTGCACCTTATACTCCGATGAGATTTTACAGTGACAGCCATGAGAGGCGCTCCGTGCTTGTGTGTCATTTTTCTGCGCATGTCTCCTGCAGAAAAAGCTGCTGTCCTCCTGCAAGTAGTGAAATATTCAGCCAAAAACGGTAATCGAGCAGCAGAAAGAAAATTTGGAGAGAGGGACTGGAGAAAGGCGGGGATAGAGAACACAGCTTCACTTCAACCTGGAGGGTGCACTGTACAACTTTCTTGGAAGTCACTGGATGGATGGATGGACAAAGCCTGGACTTCAGTGACACTGAAACCATCCTGTCGGGATTCAGAAAGGCCAGAATAATTCTAACTGGAACAGATGATGAGTCTGACTACAGCTACACAGAAGAGGAAGCAGCTCTTCATTTATCTCTGGAGGTTGCAGAGTTGCTCAGAAGTGACACTGAGGATAAAGAATTCAATGGATTTAGTGATTTGGAGTGAGATGGAGAGTTTGGTAAACTTGTTCTGTTCTGTTGTTTATGTTATAGTTTATCTGAAGAACTGTTCATATGTGATGTTAACAGTCTGTTCTCTGTTCTATTGTAACCTGACTTTCAAGATGAAATGTTGGCTCTCGGTCTCTGATTTTATAAAATAAATTTCCCCAAAAAAGCACGACTTATTATATATATATATATATATATATATATATATATATATATATATATATATTTTTTTTTTTTTTTTTTTTTTTTTTTGGCTGGTGCGACTTATACTCCAGAGCAACTTATAGTCCGAAAAATACAGTACTTTAGTGCATTTTGGTACTACAGCTTCTGAAAAAAATTTGACTCACCAGCAGTTCATTTTGTTATTCAATTCGAACGTTAAAACTAATTAAAAATAAAAATCTCACAAGATCATTTTCAGCATGTTTGCACAATCGCGTGGCAATTTTGTCTTGCGAGATCTTGTGGCACGAGATCTTGTTCCATCCCTACTGAATACTCAAATATGGTTGTGGGTGGAATTTAGGTATTTAGTCCTCCTTCAGTTATAGTAAGGAGTATTTGTTCTTAGTTACTTTGCAGCCTTGGCAGTAGTAGTAATAGTAGTAGTAGCAGTAGTAGTAGCAGTAGCAGCAGTAGTAGTCGCAGCAGTAGTAGTAGTAGTAGTAGTATTATCACAGCACTGTCCCACACTTTGACAAGCACTCGCCCACAGACACTACATCACACTTACTTATATCCCTTCCATCTCCGCACCTCATCCGACCCCGAGCTTCCCAATCGCCTCCGTTACCATCACTTTACACTTTCAGGATCACACAGCGCGACCTTTTCCCTTGGCAGAACATCAGAAGGGAGCGGTTTGGTCCCATGTGTTCACTCGGAGCCCTGGAGACAGCTCTGCTCGCGCTGCTACGTTCAAGGACAATGGGTTTTAAGAGCGTCTGTTCGGGCAGTAGATCAAACCCACGGGCCATGTTATCGATAGGGACTGAGTCAGGGGTTGGAGATGGGAACCGGGGAAGTCATTCAATCATGGTTTATGTTCTGTGTCTTTATGCTCTTAAGATGAAGCAAGGAAGACGATACGTAAAGAGAGGGTACTATGCAAAAATCGACTTTCTGGAGCTTTCCGCCGCATTATAATGTTGTTTTCTCCTCACAAACATGCCTGAAGTTTTAGACGTCATCCGTGCATGTTTGAGTAATCTAGTGATCTCTCCAGGGCAATTCTGTCCAAGGCTCCGCCCACAAGTCTACGTCATCCATGAATACACAAAAAAACGTGTTTAAAAAAAAGTACACTACAGCTTTACAAACCTGATACAATGTGCAGTAGTTTCATTAGTGGGATGCAATGCTGACTGAGTTCTGATAGCGCTCTGAAGGGGGAGTGACTTAGCACAGAGAGCAAGAAACGGGGAACACTCAGAGAATGTTGATACATTGTTTTCGGCGAAGATAGGATTTTCAAAACAATAAAAGTTTCATGGTGATCTAAATATGTCTTGATCTTAAATCTTAAATGATCTTAAATCTTCTTCAAATCTAAGACAATCCACACTGTGATTTTTGCATAGTAAAAAAAAACAAAAAACAAAAAACTGGGGGCACATATCTACGTATGATATGGGAGTGTCCTAGGCAGGCTGGCGCCACCTAGTGCCTCTGCTCAATCTCATTTCTCTCCAGTGACTAGGTCAGGAATCAGAAGAACCCCAAAAGTTGTAGACCGCGCACCGGCCAATCAGTGAAGATCTGTGAAGCCATGATGTCAAAATCAAGCTCCTGTCTGGGTCCCTATTGTGGTACAGCACAACGGTAAACAAAGCGGTCGAGATGGACGTAGACGAAGACAGACATTCTGTGTTGGCAACGATTCCCGTGATCGAGGATTTAAAGCTGAAAGAAAGAGAATTTTTGGTGAATTTTATCAAGGGGAAAGACGTTATTGCACTTCTTCTTACGAGATTTGGCGCATTACATACGTCACGACCAAATAGCAGCAATTGGTTAAATTTTTAAAATCCTAATGCTGCGAGGTCAGACGGTTTCCACAAAGTGAAACCAGCTGATGAATCAGGCTAGGAGTGCTCTGAGGTGGCACAGTTTGGGAAAATGTCACAAAAACATTGTCTAAATCAGGGGTGTCTAAACTTTTTTCATCAAGGGCCAAATATCTAAACACAAACCAAGCAGAGGGCTGATCGAGGGCCGTAGGCTGGTGCTCAGTACAGTGAATAATTTAAATGTGTGCATGTTTAACAAATTAGAATGAGCCATCAGTCTTAATTCATGCTAAGATCCTCAAAACCACACACTAAATATTCAGTATTAGCTTTATCAAAGTAGATTTTTTTAAAACTTGCAGTAAAAGTACATTTTTAATTGATGTAAGGTAATTT